TTTTTTTTTTTTTTTTGTATAGATACGTTTTTAAATAATTTTTTTTTCCATATAACAATTTAGAAAAAAGAAGCAACATTATATAAAAAAAAAAATATTACGCAAAGTCCTTCTTCCAAATAAAATTAATCACGTAATTTCTCAAAACTCTCGACAACACAATCGTATAATGAAATTTTTCGATTAGTTTTCTTCAGTTTTTCTTTCGCTATAATATAATTACTCGTTGATTAAAATAATTGATCAATTCTTTCATTAGATTCAAACGGGTTCAAAAATAAATTTTTTTTTTTACATTGGATTTTAATCGGATCGGAAATTGATATACGTAATTTTTTATGTAATGGAAAGGACAAAACTTGTAATTTATTTTTACTAGTGTAATCTGCGAATCTCGAAGTAGAGTTAATGATACAAATTTTGTAGTCGAAGCAGCGAGAATATATTCGTCATCATATATACGTAGTATAGTATATCGTATACATTCTGTTTTGTAATTAGAGTATTTTTGAAAGTTTATTATTACATTCACACACACAAGGAAAATATCTTTACTAATAGTCTCGAATTTCTTTAATTCTGTATCATGTAATGTATACTTCTTTTTTTTTCTCTCATCGGATTCCATCGCATTATTCAACACGAGACGAGACAAAAAACGAGTGATTTATAAGATAATAGAGAAAACAACAACGAGCGATTTATCTTTTTAGCAATATAAATAATTAATTTCTATATGATCTGTTTTTTATATATATATAAAAGATTTTAATTTTATAATTTTTGAAATCTTTTTTGTGAGATGCAATATTAAACAGATAGCATGAAACTCAGTAAGATACAGTAAATTGTAAGGAGGAAAAAATCATGAGTTACAATACTATGATAATCCAATTTTAACAGTATTACAATCTCGTGTAAAAAATATTTGCTAAAATACATTATAAGATTCAAAATTATGTACTACACGCATATATTTCAATACATTATTTACGTTATTATTTTCATATATTTTAACGACATATAAAAATTTCTGAAATAAATAAATATCTGAAATAAATAAAATATATAAGTATGAATATATATTCACATTGTGAAATATATATTGCGCATTGTTTGTCTTAATAAGACATCAAATACGAGATCATCAATACGGAACCGCGATATATCAGTTTATCTTTTTAAAAGATTGTAAACATTATCTCGAGAATTATAAGGATAATGCGCAGTAGAGATGAGAACAGGATACATAAGTGATAAGAAAACGCGCGCGAATATATAAGGAAACAAGATTGACGATGACGGAGTTGTTTCAAGATCGATCTCGTCGAAAAAAAAGTTTACTTTACTTTTTTTACGATTAATTAAAGCCGGTCTTTCCTGAAATAAAATATTATGGATGAAACAGTCCATGTTAGCATTTTCTTATAACCATCTTAATATTAATGCTAATTGTAAGCTCAACAAAATCCAGGGGATAAAGTTGTCATGAAAGAAATATAGTTGTCATGAAAGAAATATAGTTATCATGAAGGATAATAAGATTCACAAATACACGCAACAAATTTTTGAAACTTTTATTTATGTATTCCAAGTATAATTTTTGAAATACACATGTGTAAAATAAAAAAAAAAAAACACCGAAATATACATCGCATATTAAGACATGTAAATATACTAGATATGAATCTTGAGAATTTAAAAAAAGCCTAATTTCATTTCATTACATCTTGCAAAATGTAATTTTTCAATCGGATAGATTAGGTTCTTTCAAGAGAGAATTGATGAATGGGATAGTAAAAGCAAAAGATTAATTATAGTCTGCGGTTTTACATAATGATGTGCCATCTTAAAGAAATACTATATTCTATTATCCGATGAAAGAAAAGACTTCATTCATATTGTAATTTCAGAAGATTTAAGTTCGCTATATTGAGTCTAATAGAATTTGAACGAATACAACACGTAATAAAGGAATTTTCATTACGCTCTGACAATGAGTTGCACAATGTTTACGAGCTGTTGCTCTTTGTCACAGACGAGATTGCATTTCAAAGAACGATAGAGATTATAACAGCAAGTAGTATTTGCGCGCGGTGGGCGAAATTAAAGACGGTGCGTGCGTCTTAATGAACTCATGATAAGTGCTCGTACTTTTTTTCTTTTCTTTTCGTTGCTCCATGGAGAACGATTGGAAACATATTATCCGTTTCATTTATTCTCTATTTTTAGCGAGAAACCTTTATCGCCTTCCGTCAGCGATGTATTCTACTTACAAAACAGAGCGCAATCAGCTGTTTAAATAAATATCTTAAAAAGAAGAATAAAATGAAGAAAAAGCAAAATATAGAGAAGGAGAATTATTTTCTTTGATCTTTAGTAAAATAAAGATATCTAAGAAATTGAAAAATCTTTTAAAGATTCAAAACATTAAATAATATTTAATGTTACAACATTAAATTATTAAAACATTAATTAATATAATAATATAATATTATTTTTTTCTTATATGTTTGTTCCACAATTCGTGAGTTTATTACGTTAATGAATATTAATAATGATTTAGTGTATTTATTGCTATCATCCTCACAATGGTAATTTATTATGTAAAACATAGGTTGTCTAAATTTGTGTATGCAATCTCTATACGACTTCTATAGTATGTTTCTCAAGACTTGCATAAGCTATGCTATTTTTAATTTATCATCATAATTACTGTTATAAAAATACTTCTGTTACAAAAACAGTTTGTCCGTCTTAAAGATTTATATCAAAAAAGGTACATTCCGAAATTTTTTATCCAAAGAATTTTTACAAAATCCTTTGCATTATTCATTATACTATAATATCCTCTTCTCCTTAATTTTTATATATAAATTAACTTTGTATATAAAGTTTATTAATTTAAAATAATTTGATTTGCAAGTTTTTAAATACTTTCAATTTTATAGACCCCTTTTATAAAGACGAGTGATAAGTTTCAATCTAGAGAAAAATGCACGTTGCATTAATTTCGCAAATAAAATTCAGTTTACTGTCAATAGTTAAGGAACAATGAAAATGTTGTCTAGCCCAATTTAGTACCGTGAGCGCAATAACCACTGGAGCAGAAGGGTCAATGACCTCGTCGCTCCAGAATTGCAACGGTGTACCGAGATAGAATGAATCCAGAACTTGAATTAGAGAGATTCATTCATATATATATTAGAAAAATTTAATCTTGATATATTTTCTATCTTTAATCATTAAACTTAAGGCAGAAAAAATTAAGTTATAAATATAAATTATATAATTGCATATAAATATATATAATTTTTTTTGTAAATTATAATTTTGTCTAAATCGTTAAATGACGTAATAATAATAATAAATATAATGATTATATAAAAAAAGAGGCTTTTGACAAAAGAAGAAAGAGAGAGGGAACATATAATGAATTCGTTTCTTTTGTGCAGGTAAATTTCGTCTTGACACAATTTACAGCGCTCATACTAGCCGGATTATTAAGATCGTCTCTGAGCCCTATTGCTACTACCCCAGCTGCCAGACACGTCTATGGTCTTGTTATTGGCCTTGCTCTTGGATATTTTTGTTTTGGCAGGTGAGCCTATGCCGAAATCATCCCATACAGAAATAGTATGGGAATATATGAATTTAATACATGAGAATTTTGACTCGGTGCAAGATGGTTATAACTCAAAATACTAAGTACATGCCACTTTCGAAAAAGATTTCAGGCTTTTCTCGTCTATATCGTTTGCCTAAACAAATATTTAATGTGAAATTTAATGTGAAATTAATGAGCAAACAAAATATAGATATTAAAGTTGGATTAGTTATATTGTAAGATGTTTTCCATGACATCTTGTCTTGTGTTAATTCGAAACTACATAAAATACGTAGATAAACATTTAATGCAATTTTGTTTCGCGTTACATGCATAAAACACGCATAATTTAATATTTAATTCTTTCAACACTTTTACATTGCACATCAAGTATCGGTGTACGTTTATTTCGACAGGAAACTTAGACGTTTACTTATCAATGTTTTTTTTTTCCTTTTCTTTTTTTTCAGACAGGCGATTCATCTCGCTAGTCTTCCCGCACTATGTTACGTAGCGATGCGCACACAAAATCCCCGCAATATGCAAAGGTGAGTATAAATATAAATATTATACTGATCGATACTGATCAGTTGTTGATCGTAATATTTAGCATAGTAGCAATAATCTTTGCGAACTTTGTTATTTCTGGTGATTAGACAGTGATGCGTATTTTATTGAAAAAATAATTCTCTCATGTATAATTAATTTGAAAAAAACACAAATCATTATACATGATGTCATGCCTTTGCAAGACTGACAAGAACAGATACTAACTCATGCCGCCGATAACAATGATTCGTCGATACTGTTAAGTACACTTTATACGATCATTTGCATTCATGACGCAATGAATCGCGCAATCATTTATTTATTAGCTCTTTTAAATATAAGCGTTTTCTTTTTTAATAAATTTGCAAGAGCATATCGCGGTCTCTCAAGGATAATCATGTTACTGCAATGATAAAAAGTATCATCGCGATGTTGTCATCTTTTCTAGTGCGATGATGACGTAAGTCTCACGCCCGAATGCGATGCATTTATTGATTTATATGACTATTAGACAAACGTAATTTCTAAGATCAATTTCGCCCACTTGAATCCTTCCTATCGATCACTGTACTTGTAAGTAAGTCTACCTCCGTTATTGCTTTACAAACAATGTTTTATAAGAGTTGAATCGCCCATTCAGCGCGACATTGATTATTGAATATCGTATACGTAACATTGTCTATTATATTCTGCTATTGTGTAGCAGGCGCCAATGCGCGTCGTTTGTATATGTTTTGGCGCTACATCGCGATATATCCCGCTATTATTCTCGCAGGTTCTTGTTGTTTTTGTAATAAATATTCTCTTTTAACAGGTCCTCTCATGGTTATAACACAGAAAGTAACTAGTCTCGCGTACAGCATTCACGACGGGTTAACGCGACGCGAAGAGGAGTTGACACCGATGCAACGTCATCAGGCTGTACAGTGAGTGTACACGTGCTCTTTAGGCCCGATGTTATTTATATACCGAGCTCTTAAGAAATATGATGAATGTAAAGCAGAGAGTCGATAACTGTTTTCCAATGTTAAAACCGTATCGCACGTAAAATAAGCATGCTTCTCTCAAGACAAAAAGACAATATACGAGTCCCCAATCTCGCACAGTTTATTAACAGAGATAAATTGTTCGCGGAAAGTATTGTTCCAATATTAATTTTACAGGAAGATACCAACTACTTTGGAATACTTTAGCTACATTTTTCACTTTCAAGCCCTGATGGCTGGCCCAGTGATATTTTACCGCGATTACATCGATTTTATACATGGACATCATTTACCTGGCGCAAAATCCTTGGCTGTAAGTACATTTATATAAAAATCTATATACAATCTGTTATAAAATTAAAATTTATTTAATAGAGCGTTTTTTCTTTTTTTTTATGTGCTTTAGTTAGATGTTAATACATCAATTATCTTTTTATGTGCTTCTTTTTATGTGCTTTTTTTATGTGCTTTTAGTTAGATGTTTTAGAATATATTGTCTTTTTCTTAAAATAAAGATTGGTTGCGACATTGCTTCGTAATATAATGTCGCGAAGTTGCCAAAACATTCGCGATTTGACCAATTTATTATTTATATACTATATAAATAAACGAATAAAAATATGTGTTTTTAAAAATTTAATATTTATTTATATTTATTTAACATTCATTATATTTATTTAATATTTATTTATATTTATATTTAATATTTATTTAAAATTTATTTAATAGAGCGTTTTTTCTTTTTTTTTATGTGCTTTAGTTAGATGTTAATACATCAATTATCTTTTTATGTGCTTCTTTTTATGTGCTTTTTTTATGTGCTTTTAGTTAGATGTTAATACATCAATTATCTTACTCTTATTCAAAAAAAATAAAATTTAAGCCTTACACAAAGAGACCTAAATAAATAATAAAAAATGATATTTTAGACCTTCTATGATAAAAATAGTCAAGAGAAAGAAATTGTTCTGGAGCCGTCACCGACTCTGGTTGTCATAAAGAAAGTCGCGGCGAGTTTAGCATGCGCCATTGTATTCATTACGTTCATCTCGGATTTCCCAATACAACGTTTAAAAGGTTCGTTTGAATTATCCTCTGTCTAGAGTCTTATCGCTTATAATATCTATCTGTCGCGATTAACGATACACCTCTCGATTTCAGAGGACGAGTTCCTGGAGAACACGAGTATATTTTACAAAGTGTGGTATTTGATGCTGACGACTATGCTCGTGCGCTTCAAATATTATCACGCTTGGTTGTTCGCTGATGCTATATGCAACAATTCCGGCCTCGGGTTCAGCGGTTACGACGAACGAGGCAATGCACAATGGGACTTGGTTTCCAACGTCGACGTTTACAAGTTCGAGGTGCGATACGTCTGATGTAAATAAAGATAATTACAATACGAAGTATTACACTTTCTCTCGACGATCAAACAGGAGAGTAAGATACTTCAGCTCTTCTTTTTATCGTCGACGCACAACATTGCTATATTTATTGAAAGTTGCTTTTGCAGTTTATCGTTTGATCGATTTACAGACATCGCTTAATCTAAGGGACAGCATCGAAAGTTGGAACAAGGGCACAAATTTGTGGCTGCGATCAATCATGTACGAACGAGCTGATCGTAACAAAGTGCTCTATACGTACGCCCTGTCCGCTCTCTGGCACGGTTTTTACCCTGGCTATTATCTCACATTCGCGAGCGGAGCGTTCTTCACTGTGGCTGCACGTTCAGTTAGTAAATTTTGTTGCTCTATTTCACACGACTACGAATGAAATTTTCTCTGATTCTCACATCTTATTACAACAGGTCCGTCGTCATATCAGGCCATTGTTCTTGGAGCCTCGACGAAAGAAGACCTTTTACGATATATTAACGTTCATCACGACAAGGATCGTAATGGCCTACATGACGTTCAGTTTTATACTGTTAGAATTTATGCCAAGCATTAACATGTACCTGTAAGTATTTAACATTGTCACAAAAAAATTGTCAATTGTTGTTAACTAGGATCATAGGAATGTAATCTTTGAAAAGTCGAATCCACATTTGTCGAATGGCACGACATTTACCTCTAATAATAATAAGTTTGATTTTTATTAATACAATTTTTTTGTCACTATAGGTACTTGTACCTGCTCCCGCATTTATTGGGTTTGATCGCAATAATACTTCCACCCCGTCTGGGACTGTCGCGAAAAGCGCACAAACAGTCAGCTGAGACTGATCTCTGCGAAGCAGTTAGCAACGGAAACGCACATAAAACAATGTAATCTTCTGATCGCGATGTTAACAAAGACAGATATTTTTTATGGATGTTTTTAATAATATATATACAAATATAAATACATACCTATATATAATATTTCTTGTTACAACGCAATTATATATATGTGAAAGTCTATCGACAATGTGCCGCGTGTGCACATTACGTTTATGTAAAGCATTATCAAAACTGACGTATCGTTTTTTTTATATGGTAAACAAGAAAAATTTTATAATTCGCCTAAATATATGGTCGTTTTATCTACGATTCTATTTACAAACTTTCATTCGCTCTGCTTCCTACATATTACGGACGTGAATAAAACGGATGAAATTGAAGATTCATACGAAGCCAACTGAAGAGATAACAACGGAATATCAAAATTACTACTAGCTTTTAGGAAGATTTAAGCAATGATATATTATTGGAACAACCGGTTGTTACTTTGAGAGAGACTATAATATTCATTAAATATAATTAATACTGACCGCAACGAGACAGCTTAAATGGTTTTATGCGCACAGCTTTATTCGATCACTAATGGAATATATCATGTTTGTGTAATCTGGTAAAGAGAAGCACCGAAACTGTCAGCGAAGCCCTGTCGCGCAAGAGACAGCGAGCGAGCACGCCAGATTGTCGCGAGTTGTCAGTTAGCGTTTCATTGCTCGATGTCATCTTAGTGAAAAAGTTCAACACAAGAGTAGAAATCTCGGCAGAGGCAATCCAAAAAGGCATGGTAAAATCCGTCAGAATTATTATTTGTAATTCACATTTTAAACTCTTCATTAATTATAATGAAAACCACTAGTATTTTACATGTGAAGACGATTATTAAATCACAGAAGATGCGCACTATCTTGGAAGCTCTGAAATATAGGCATCTTTTGTACGAAAATTGTAAAAAAAAAAACAAAAAAATCCGGAGATTTTTATATGAGAGAAGCTTATTAAATTTTTTAAAGCAAGAAAGCTATCGTAGATATGTAATACGATTGGATGAAACCATGTATATGGTATCTTCAATATGGAATATAGATATTTGGAACACAAAAAGAGTCGCATGATTCTTATCGATATTCTGATAAGGATGTTCATGTCCTTTTATGCGTATAAAATGAAAGCTTTAACTATATATAGCCGTTAAATTTCTTCCCTTCCAAGATACATTGCGTGTGCCTTCAAAGTGAGTCCGATATGCAAAATCGATGATTTGCAGAAGCTCTTTACTTTGGTGAAGGTCGCCTACGTTATGCTGATAATCGTCCTGTTGCTGATGATGTGGGCGTCCATCGTGCGGATGCATGAGTTACCAGTCCAGTATCCGCCGTGTTTTTTCAATCCACTCTGCACCTGTTCAAAAGCCATACCGGATCTTGGCATAGTGGCGTGCTATAACGTGCCGATGCCGCGAATGCCAGAGCCGATTAATTCTTCCAAAATGTTCATGCTACAACTGGAGAGTAATGGGCTGAGATTTCTGCAGCCGCAGCACCTCATGAATACCGGTACGCAACTAAATTGAAAAACTGATAAAGTGAAAAGTTATGGGAGGCTAATATGTATCAAGATTTCTTGAAAATTTCTCATATTTTCTTTTTTTAATTATAAAGCTAATCTCTGAAATAATATAGATTTAAATCAATGAACTGACTGAACAAATTTTTCATTTTTATATCTCGATATGATATATATTATTTTATTTCAATAAATATGTTTCTCTAATTATGAACATCAATTCTTTTATCAGAACAACAAAGAATCCGTGACATGATGCGTATTATTATCATGCATTTTAGGTCTCTACAAACTACAGATTAAGTATAATCCCCTGGCAGACATTCCAGAAGAAGCCTTTCTAGGTCTCGAGAGATCATTATGGGAGCTCGATTTATCTTACAATCAACTCGCAAATGTGCCGAGCAAATCATTCAGACATTTGCAAAAACTCCGGCTTCTCGAACTCACAGGTATCTACTCTTAGCGAGATCAAATTAGCGGTCTAAATTCTTAAAAAAGATTCTCACTGATATTTATAATAGTATAATATATAATGTTTCTAAAGATATAATGTTGCATTAAAAAACATCTAATGTTAATAATAATTTAATATAACACTTTTAATTAAATTATAATTTTAAAAAAATATGATAGTACAAAAGGGAGAGAGAACTTCTTGATATATAAGTCTAAATAATTTTACAAGATATTTGCTAAGATTTATAATAGTTTAATAGACGATGCATCATACAAAGAATAGAGTCAATATCTGTATAAGAATGTTAAAGACGTAACATTTTCCCCACGCAAAAGCTTGGCACAATATGAAAAATTTAACATTATCAGACGCACGATTTAATGTAGGTAATAAGATATCTCACATCGCGGCGGAAAACTGGCGGGGTCTGGAGAACTCGCTGCAGACTCTATATCTGGGTCGAAACGCAATCGAGAAGCTACCGGCTGACGCTTTCGCCGGTCTCACGTACCTAGAGGTCCTCGATCTTCGAGAGAACAGCTTGAAGGAGATCGATCTGTCGGTATTTAGGGACGGGATGGCCCATCTGACGCATCTTTATCTGAACGACAATCAGTTGACGCACGTGCCATACGCCCAACTGTCCCAACTGAAGCGCATGAAACTCCTCGATCTCAGCTACAATATTTAATTAAATTATAATTTTAAAAAAATATGATAGTACAAAAGGGAGAGAGAACTTCTTGATATATAAGTCTAAATAATTTTACAAGATATTTGCTAAGATTTATAATAGTTTAATAGACGATGCATCATACAAAGAATAGAGTCAATATCTGTATAAGAATGTTAAAGACGTAACATTTTCCCCACGCAAAAGCTTGGCACAATATGAAAAATTTAACATTATCAGACGCACGATTTAATGTAGGTAATAAGATATCTCACATCGCGGCGGAAAACTGGCGGGGTCTGGAGAACTCGCTGCAGACTCTATATCTGGGTCGAAACGCAATCGAGAAGCTACCGGCTGACGCTTTCGCCGGTCTCACGTACCTAGAGGTCCTCGATCTTCGAGAGAACAGCTTGAAGGAGATCGATCTGTCGGTATTTAGGGACGGGATGGCCCATCTGACGCATCTTTATCTGAACGACAATCAGTTGACGCACGTGCCATACGCCCAACTGTCCCAACTGAAGCGCATGAAACTCCTCGATCTCAGCTACAATAGGATATCGAGGATGCTGCAGACGCAACAGGAACCGGAGATCAGGGGCATACAGATGTCCCTGGATGTATTGCAGTTGGACTACAATCAGATCGAGATTCTCGCGTCCAATGATTTTCAGCATTTTTACAAAGTCAACCGCACGTATCTCAGCGGCAATCCTTTGACGATGATTGAGGTACGATTAAATTATAAAGCTCATAAATTAGCGTAACTCACATCGTACAGTGCAAAGTTGAGAAAGAATGTCTAAGAAATGAAAAAAAAATTAAGAAGATAGTAATTAATATTAATATAATTAATATTAATATTAAATAATGACAATTGATACTAACATATATGTATCGAATTTCGCGAGCTAAGGAGGGTACGTTCCGAGACTCGCGCATTCGCGAACTATATTTTAGCGACTGCGATTTACTGGAGATCAACTCGGCTAATCTTGCCGGTTTGGAGTCGACGCTCGAGTTATTGGATGTCTCGGGAAACAACATAACTACGCTTCCCAATCGGCTTTTCCAAGAGTTCGACTTCCTGCATACGCTCATCTTTCGCGAGAATCGTATCGACACATTTTCGCCAAGTAAGTACTCTTCATGGGCAGACACAATGTGCAAAACAGACATCAATGTGCAACATTTCAGCCGAGGTTTTCAACGGCTTCCAATATTCCTTGTACAACTTGGATCTCAGCGGGAAGCAGAACAGCATCATCTCCCTTCAAGATCTACGCCAGATGAGAAACCTGCGTTTCCTCGCGATATCTCGGATGCCGCAGGCGATCTTGTCGGCGGATGATTTTTTGGAATTTGGTATGGACATCAAGGAGTTACGGATAGTCCACAGTAATCTCAACACCATCAAGAGCCATGCTTTTATGCACGTTCGCGGGATCAAGTACCTCGACTTTTCCGAAAACTCGATATCGACGATAGACGACGAGGCTTTTTCAGAGGTAAATTCTTACATCTCATTTGAACCTCGGTTTATTTCTAGAAATTGTACTTCATATAATTTAGAATAATAATATTACATCTTCATATATATAAGAGAAAGAAATTTAACATAAAATTTGTAAGATTAAATGTGAAATAAGAAAATTATGTACAGAGTATACAAGTATACACCTCTTTACAGTTTTTCGAATTCCTCACGCATAGGTAGGCCATTCTTTGTTGACGTTAAGAATGTCCCACAGTCTATCCTCGACGATTTCCGAGATACCTAATCGACCATTGAAATCGTTGACGAATCTGCAACATCTCGATTTTAGTAACAACAAAATTCGCTCCTTACCCGCCACATCGTTTCACTTTCTGAAAAGGATCAAGCGCATTGAATTGCAGGATAACGAAATTGATAATATATTCAAGGGTACTTTTCAGGTAAATCGATCGTTTTAACAACACAATATCGTCTTACGCGATAAAGAAAACGTTTGATTCATAGGGCGATATCCATTCGACGCTGGAAGAGATTAACTTTGCGTTTAATAAAGTGAAGAATCTACAAACTCACACGTTCGTCGATCTGTCGGCCCTAATGACGATCAATCTAGAGGACAACGCCATCGACAGGATCGAGAGGCGGGCTTTCATGAATATGAACCGACTTAAGTATATCAACTTGCGTGGTAACAAGATTAGGGACATCAACGACGAAGCCTTCCAGGTAATTTAATATATGAATATATGCGAGAGCAGATATTATATAGAATATTATAGGACGTTTATGAATATGCTCTTAGCTATAAATTCTATGACGAACTTAAGTTGACTGCTTCTTGATAAGAATTTTGTAGCAAAAAAACATCACTAACATATAATGCATATTTGTTAAGTATATCTTGAAAATTAAATTCTTGTTAAGTCCAAGCTAATTAAAATTAGTTGAAAATAAAGATTTTGCCATTTAATTGAATCTGAAATTTTTTTTTGCAATCCAAGTCATATAAAATCTCAATATTAAATAAGAATGATCATCTATGAATATATCGACGGGATAATTGAAGATTCATTTAAAAATATTGTGTACATTATTGATATTTCAGAATTTACCGGATCTTGAGTTTCTCGATCTCGCATATAACAATCTTCGTGAATTCGATCTCGCCTTCTTCGATCAAGTGGGTACATTGTCATCGTTTAAAGTCAATGTTAGCCACAACGAGATTCCGAGATTGTGGATAAATAACACTTTCGCACCTACTTCTGCCAGTGAGTCCGCTTTTATCATATTCGATAAACACGATCTCTTTGACAAATATTAATTTTTATTTAAAAATGATGAATAACAAATAAAATTTAATTTTTAATTATTTTATTTTTTTTTAGTTGGTGGTAGTGTGCACTCGAACATCAAAGTTCTGGACTTGAGTTACAATAATATCTCCGACATAATGAAGTATTATTTTAAGCCAGTCGAGTATTCTCTCACTCATCTGTATCTATCAAACAATCAACTGAGGAACGTTACCCAGGGTGTCTTTGGAAACATGCCACACTTGCAGTGGCTCGACTTGAGACACAACGAACTGAAAGAGGTGGACTTTGACTGCTTCAAGAATACGAAAAACTTACAGGTACTGCTTCTCTCGTGGAACGAAATCATGGATATCCCGGCGGAGGCTTTAAGACCGCTGAAGAAGCTCCGCATCGTGGATTTATCTCATAACAAACTGAGAACACTATCAGATAACATGTTCACCGATTCTAACATAGAGAGTCTCGATCTTTCGCACAATCAATTCACGAGATTGCCTATCAAGAGTATGTCGTTGACTTCTGCCGCAAGTTTAGCAAACTTGGACATGTCCTGGAACTTCTTATCAGGAATCCATAACACCGACACGATATTCAGACTTAAAGTAAGTCTGACTCAGTTCACATTGAAATCTAAATTGCTTTCTTTAATCATCAATTATCTCGTTTAATCGTACGTTATCGAATAAATAATATTATGCACTGTATTTATGTATTTTTTGATAGCATCTTGTATGGATAGACCTATCGTACAATCGACTTGTTAGATTAGATGATGGCGTATTTTCTGATCTACCATATCTGGCTCATCTCGACTTAAGCCATAACAAGCAACTCATCTTGGAAAGCCGTGGAAGAACATTCTATGGTTTGGAAAATACACTTTTGTACCTTAGTCTAAGCAACATCTCCCTCTTGAGCGTAAGTATCTTATCAGCAATGAGAAACATATATATGAAATGGCGTGTAATTAGTAACATAGGTTCCAGAGTTGCCTCTACGACGACTGCAAACCTTGTATTTGGCATATAACGAGCTAGCATCGATACCAACGGAAATGTCGTCAAATTTGACATCTCTCCACTATTTAGATTTGAGTGCCAATGATTTGACAGTGGTACCATTGATCACTCACTCGTTACCGGAATTAAAGACGTTTAATTTGTCGAATAATCCTATTACCGCCATTACGAATACGAGTTTTCTGGGTGTGGCCGACAGCCTTGAAGAGCTGGATATACGAAGACTCACTCTATTAATCTTTGAGGTAAGCGTTTGTTCAAGTTCTCGTAACAAATTATACAAGATTTCACAAACGAACATGAAACTATAATCGATTTTTTCAGGCAGGTGCACTCTGCAAAGCCAGCAAGCTCCGCAAGTTGCACATTACTGCATATAACAGTGTGAAGAACTTCAACTTTCCCAATATTCTGCAATATAATCATGGTCTGAAACATTTGCTCATTGATGTAAGTAATCGAATAAATATTACATAATGCGAGCTAGATTTATTGAATTCAGAAACATATTTGTATAGGTTCAGAACGGCACCGATCTAGAGAAGGAAATGAAAGGGAAGTTTCCTTACAAATTATACAACATTACGTTGACTGGTAAAGCTTTAAAGAAAATACATCCGGAGATTCTGCGCGTAAGTTCTTGTTAGTTCTTATAAATTCTTGTTCTCTAATTTGTCCCTAAACAACTTGTAAAATTTTATGAAATGCAAGTTCATTTGCTTCCGTGAACATTATTGTGTGATTATTGTAATTAAATGAAATTTTAATGGATTTTGCAGATCAGAATGACTGTAGAATCAATTAAACTGTTCCAACTTGGATTAACTTTTATAGAAATTCATTCATAATAGAATTATATATGTATAGTACACAAATATACATAAAAATGTTGTTAGAAATTTTTATGAATAATGTTAGATGTTTGAAATACATCGAGCGATTTTTTAGGGCATACGAAATCCCCATCTTCATTTCGGCTTGTACAATACCAGCGTGGCGATCGTACCGAGGGAAATGTTCAGCAACGCGCAGCGAGTGCGTAACATAACGGTGGAAATTCGCGAGAGTGACACTCGAACATTGCACAATCCATCGTCCGGTTATAAACCAGGAGTGCCGGGGGAGCGATTTATCATGAAGCTCCGATTAGCAGGCAGCTATCTTAATTGCGATTGTGATATCGGGTACGACTGATACAGTAGTTGAATGCCAACGATGATAGAAATCTAAGTACCACAAAAAATGAATCGATCTGTGCTGAAGCTGATAAGAAATAAACATCTTTTTTCTTTTACATAGGTGGATCGAAATATGGCAGAGGAAGCAGAGACAGTATCAAGAAGATCGATGTACTTCATACGACGAATTTAAGAACTTCGAGCACGAAGAGAATGACGAATTCAGTTGTTGGGACAACGGCTGGGATGACGATCTCCGTGAGACGTTCTGCTTAAATAAGAACAATGTATCGTTGTCGAACGAATTGAAAATAGAACTGGAATGCGGGTGGGGTGCAGCGAGTCATACTATTGTACTGGACAATTTTGCTTTTCTGTTTTTCTCGATCGTCCTGACTGTTATTTATTAGGCGTCTCATTCGCATTGCTTTTTATACAATATTCTCGAATCGAAATTTGCGAAAAGAATGTTATGGTCAATGTAAAAGAACGACCAAGTCATTATGTATGCTCGTATACTTGTACAAAGCAAATTGTACTCATGTATTTGTAAATTAATGTAAAACTAAAAAACTTTTGCAAGGACAACGCACCATGATTTATTCACGTTTTATTAAAATCACAATTTAATTGTGCATCACAAATTTAGCTACAATACCGATTGCCATTTGTACAATCGGAAAAACAATGAAGCCGAGTATAAATATAAGGCAAACATACACGCTGAGCAATTGCATAGCGAGTATTGCGAATTTGACCATTACTTGTTGAATGTTCTTAGTTCTGCGTATGTCGATTATTTTGTCCAGTACAAATCTTAATATGAAGGAAAACATCTGGAATTTATGTTTCACAATTTCAATCCTTATCCTTAGTTAAGGTAGGATATAGAGATACCTTGCATAATCACCTGGATAATAGGAGCAATGTTAACAATCACATATATCAATGCCCACAGAGATCGTGCTGTAGCCTGAGCCATTACTACGATCAAGGCTGCAAAGGAATATTCAGTACGTGATATATCGCAAGATTCTTGATAATTAGCTAAATATTCTCGACAATTGGAGAGAATGCTTTGCTTTGTTCTCCCTTCTTGAGGTTCATCCTCCTTGAGAACATTCTCTATAATATTACAACAAATAATTCATCTTGAAGCTTAAAGCTTAAAGCTAGCTCTTTTAGCTTGATATTTCTTGTAAAAAATATGCTTCTTCTATGTACATCACAAATCATACTATATATATTTCTTTTAATTTATACCGTATAATATATAAGATATTTTGATTATATCTGTTTAATGCAGTGGAACTAATGCAAAATTTTTTCATGGAATCATTGAATAATCTCTACACAAAGAGATTGAATTGTCAATACTGAAGATTTAAAAGATTAATTATAATTGATTTATTAAAATCTTATGAAAAATAATTAATAATTTTAAAAATTAGTACTATTTAGTAGTGTCTGTACAATTAGTTATGCATTTACCTGGTGCGTGATTGGATTCTTGATAACGTGTAGAATTACTAATAGAAACGCTGTATGGATTTTTATATTTCCACGAGACATGTTCAAGTTGTTGAACCGCGTTGCTTTCAGACATCGATGTATCATATTTCCCGGCACTTTGGATCTCACACGACATACTCGAAAATTCTTCCGTCTTGATTGCATCATTCATTCTTTGTTTTACATTTCTGTGGGACTCGTCTGCTCGTTGAAATCGTTTGTGATGTTTGATGATGGGATTAATGACATCGCTCAATTTAGAATTTGAAAAAACCTCGTCGATTCGCTTTTCCTCGACATGCATACTGACGAAATTTACAAAGAAATTGTTTACAATATTTAAATTTGCATACGGAAAGATCACATGACTCGCAACAGTTCGAGCGTGTGATTTTCGTGTATCAAATTTTTAGCTTATCAAACATTCATTTCCGTAAATCTTAAATATATATAGTCCATTCATGTGATAAATGTGAAGTTATCTTTTTTAAAGATCGGCGTCGGATCGCGAAGAATGACGAATAAAATAAACTCGGTGTGGCGACTGGCGACAGTGGCGACACTGAGAGACGGGTGCGTTCGAAAAGCACACTTTTAGCGCTATGAGCCTGCTCTATCCTTGTTTAACTTTACTCTGATTGGTCAATCCGCAACCATCAACCGTAACTCCAATCATAATCGAGCACAGAGACCACGCTCGCAACTCGGAGTGTAATACGGCCTTAAGAATAGTTTCTTCATATTTTTGAGAAGAGAAAGGTTATGCGGTAAAAGTGTGAAGAGTGTGAAGAGACTTTTCCAAGAATTTTTTGTTAAAGAAGCATACTTCTTAAAATAATAATCAAGATGGTAAGCAATGAAAATGTTTATTATTATAAGATAACTTTAATTCAAGAATCTTCAATTTAACTTGCTTTTATGTTCTTTTATACTTTGAACGAAAGTCTGTAACAAATGTGAATTAAGATGTTTTAGATAAAATAAAGATAATTAAATACATATATTTAATTTAAAAAAAGAACATGTGCATAATAGGTCTTCTCTATTTTTAGAAATAAAATATCCAGAGTTTATTCGTCCAAAAAAGATTGTGCACATATTAAAGGAGAATAAAATAATTTAAAACAAATTTTCTTTTGCTTAGACACAGGCATTAAGAGAATCAAACGCTTTATAATAAAATGCTTTTATAATCAAAATTTGTTTAGTTTCAGATTTAAATAATACAAAATATTTTCACAGATCTACTTAAACCTATAAAACGATTATATATAAATAAAAAATTTATTAATTAAAAATTAATTATTCTTTATATACATAAAATCGTTAAAATATAAAGTATACATATTTTTTTTATATATAATCTTTTTATTCACTATTTTTAGACGATCGGCAAGAACAACAAGATGTTGCAGCATATCAACTATAGAGTTAGAATCATCTTGCAAGACTCTAGAACGTTCATTGGCACTTTTAAGGCTTTTGACAAGCATATGAACTTGATACTTGGTGACTGCGAGGAATTTCGCAAGATCAAGCCAAAGAATACCAAGCAGCCTGAAAGGGAAGAGAAGCGTGTATTGGGATTTGTGCTTCTACGCGGCGAGAATATAGTGTCATTGACTGTGGAAGGTCCGCCGCCTCCTGAGGAAGGATTACCTAGAGTACCGATTCCAGGAGCAGCGCCAGGACCAGGTATGGCTCGTGCTGCAGGCAGAGGTATGCCAGCAAACGTTGCGGGAGTACCAGCTGGACTTCAGGGTCCAGTCAGAGGTGTTGGAGGACCATCCCAACAGATCATGACGCCTGGCAGCAGAGGTCAAGTCTCGGCACCACCTCAAATACATCCTGGTGGTCCACCGCGTATGCCAGTTGGTGGACCGCCACCGGGCATGATGGGACCACCAGCTGGAATGATGGGTAAGATTTTCTTTGATCTGGACATCCAATCCCTTTAAGAAAGAGAGAAAAAGACCTTTTTTTCTTTTCTGCTCCTTTTTTAAGAATATAGGAAGAATCTCTTGACACACAAATATCTCTTTTTGAGAATAATCTTGTATCATGTTAATAATACTATATGTTTTACATGTTTTAATTACAAAAAATCTATAAAATTACACTACATAATTACAGAAATTATATATAATAAAACACACATATCTCTATATTTGACAGGTATGCCACCTGGAATGCCACCCATAGGACGTGGTGGCCCACCAATGGGGCCACCTGGGATGAGGGGCCCACCTCCTGGATTGATGCGTGGTGGTCCCCCTCCTCGCCCATATTAATTATTAAGATACCTTATGATAATACAATTAGAGACAATAAGAAATTTTTTGATAATATTGATATATTTACCCTAGTCTTTGCTTAACTTTCTTCAATGATGTGAATGTGTATCAATTTTATTAAAACTTGCAACAAATGATAAAAAATTTATTTGATGGATTTTCTATATCCCTGAAGTTCTTTAAAGCAGTAATATAATGTATTTTCGTTTTAGGATAATTCTCTTTGATAATGTTACACAGTTATACATATAAAAATAAGGTATATATTAATAATTATTAATTTAAAGAGTTCAAGGAACGACCAATTTACTTATGTTTGAATATCTTTATTTATTTTACAATTAGCTATAAATATCATCGTTTGTGCTTATACACAGTTTGCATTGGCGATATTACATACAGAATGTCTCAGATTTACCGTATCAAGTTTCATTTATGGATTAGATCCCTAAATTTGACTGACAATGAATATCATGCATGCGTAACTTTTTATAATTTTATAAATTTTCAGTACTATATGTTAAAAGTCTTAAAAATTAAAGTTAAAATAAGATTTGCTTTAATTGAAAGTAATCTATTAAAATCATTTTTTATAAAATAGATATGAGAAATCTAAGACACTCTGTAGCTGCAGAATATATGACGTGATGGTTGAAAAAATCTAATGTCTCATTTATGAGGCATCATTTATGAAGATTATAATTGCACAAATTAACTTGTAAATTCGTACGAATTTAGGCAAAAATCTTTGCAACTTTCGGTAGAAATCTTGCATAAAATATAATTATAATAAAAAAATTCGAGTAACACAGTATTGCAATATTATGAACTGAAGGGCAGTGTCACTTTGCTTAAGAAAAATATAACTTTTTCCTGTTAAAAATTGCACTTTTAGTGAAGAACAAATTATCAACTTGCCTCGAGCAAGTTTTATTAAAACAGCAGAGAACGGTATGTGTTTCTCTCTATTGATAAAAATAACTAAAGCTATCGTCGAATTTTAATTTATATACACACTTTATTAATGGCGGCGAGAGAAAAGATTATTCTTATATACCCATCCTTAAATAAACGTTTTCTCTTTAGTCCGAGAGTATGTCGATGTATTTACAAGATATTTACAGCGCCGCTGCAACAGTAGCATGAGCAAGTGACAGATTCACAGAATTAAATTTCTAGTACTTAACATTATAATATCACATTTACAGAAACGCGTTTAATCTTACATATCTATAGACAAAAGTACAAAATTTTCGAATATGCGCCTGCAATTTGACACATTCATTTACTTCTATTTGCTATGGAGCATGTAAAATTTATATCATTGACTTTTATCTCGATAATCTGTAGAACTAGATAGAGCTGTGTTTCCTGCATATATGGTAAAAATATGAATCTTTAATTGGGGAACCGCGTTTAATATTAAATTACATAGCTGCCCTATATATTTACGAACACATTCAAGGTAAAAAAAAAAAAAAAGAATAACAGACAGTAGCACTAAATGCACCGGGGATTCCAACTCACAACTCTTTTAACTCTTTAGCAGGAAATAGAGTCGTAATAATGGAATTAAAAGTTAAAAGAGCGATTTATATTGCTAGCAGGATTATGAAAAAATGAATGAATATATAACGCGCGTGTCATGGCTATATACAAAAGTATAAATTAACTGCAGATCGTAATTTGGCACTTATGTACAATATTAATATTAGTATTAATATTAAATCAGTATGCTTGAATAATGTTGAAAGTCACTGAATGTTGGAATCTTATTTTTATGATCAAACGGCCTCAGTCGTGTTCTATATATGAAATAACTTAGGTCGGTCACTTTTGATTCCATCGAAATCTTCCAACGAGCAAACATAGGAGCATATACATGTAAAAATCTCATTAAAATAGGCATGAACACATACGTACATATACGTGTGTGTGTGTGTGTGTGTAAAACATATACATTATATTATATGAACATATCAGTACGCTTTCAATACAAAAGTATCATCAGCCTTACTGTCATGCAACGATTACGACACACGTAACGTTGAAATTCCTTTAGTCGTTACGAATCATCGTGCTCGTCTAGTTGATTTATAGTCGCCATCGATCTTGAATCTTCTAAAACGCAATTCTTATAATTGTCTTCTTGTAATATATACTGTAAGTGTTGCGTATTCGAGACATCTATTATCTCGCCAATCGTTTCCACATCCTCGTCAGAATTTTCTATCCGAATATCATTATTAGCATCATCTGTACAGAATGGTGCATTAAATATAACTTATTGGTTATTGGTGAACATACATAATGAAGTCAAATAATTTTAAAATTGGACATTTGGATGAATAACGAGCAAACATAGGAGCATATACATGTAAAAATCTCATTAAAATAGGCATGAACACATACATACATATACGTGTGTGTGTGTGTGTAAAACATATACATTATATTATATGAACATATCAGTACGCTTTCAATACAAAAGTATCATCAGCCTTACTGTCATGCAACGATTACGACACACGTAACGTTGAAATTCCTTTAGTCGTTACGAATCATCGTGCTCGTCTAGTTGATTTATAGTCGCCATCGATCTTGAATCTTCTAAAACGCAATTCTTATAATTGTCTTCTTGTAATATATACTGTAAGTGTTGCGTATTCGGGACATCTATTATCTCGCCAATCGTTTCCACATCCTCGTCAGAATTTTCTATCCGAATATCATTATTAGCATCATCTGTACAGAATGGTGCATTAAATATAACTTATTGGTTATTGGTGAACATACATAATGAAGTCAAATAATTTTAAAATTGGACATTTGGATGAATAAGGAATGATTTCACAATTTTAATTTCGATAACACACCCTCTCATTTCTTTTATTAAAATATAGTTTAAAATTATACGAAACATTTATATTTTTATATTTGTTGCGTAATATACCTTGTGTATTGGCAATTTGCTTCGACCTGATAAGTATTTCCTTATTTCCTTGCGGTTTCGAGGAATCTAATAGCTTCATTGCTTGACAATTCATGCTTGCATTAACATCTTTATTCCTTCTACAAGAGGAAAAAAGACATGTTAAATCATCAAAATATTCTATTCATTATGTATTCACAAATATTAGCTGTTACATCTATGTTTGATATTATTACTATTATTCTGACCTATGCTGTTTTTCGTCCATGGCGGATGTAATCGCGGAATTTGTTTTCAGAGGTGAATCTCGGTCAATCGTATTAGTAACGCCACTGCATTCTTTCACTTGTGCAGTATTCATGCTATGTTCATGTATCACAGTCTTATGTTGCACGTGCAACTTTGTAGCTCTTTCCAAGAACTGCGAAAAGAGCTTGTTCTTGTTAGAATCGTGCCGTAAATTTGCGGATACATCCACTACCTGTTTAAACTGCAAAACACAATTTTAAGTATCAAAGATAAAAATCAAGTGACGAATGCTATAACTTACGTTTATATTTTCAAGTTTATAGGTGGATTCTGCATTCTGTGGCGAGTTTACATTCGGCAGCATAGTCTTCGTTTGATCTCCATTATTCAGAGAAATATGATGGGATTGAACACTAATCGAGTTCGCATTATTATGCTGGCTTGTAACGCATAGATTCTTTCCACCCATTATTACCTTTCCTAGCACTTCCTGAAATAGGCAATAGATGCAATGATATCTTTATACATATTCGATTTCTCTCTTTTCGTTCATCAATTATATTTCATAATATCAATTTATTAGAATACCTTGCCTGCATGTGATAATGTTATCCCTTGTGCATGACCCTTCTGAATGACGATTACATTAGTCTTAGCATTTAATTTAGTATTTGGATAATGAGGCATATTTACAACTTTCTTAGAATTTATTGTAGCACCCTGAGGAAGACACATATAGAATAAGTTATATCATTGATAAAATATTTTTCGTGTATTTTCATAATTTTTTCTTTTATGATAGAACTACAACACATAATTAGATTTTAACAATACGAATATTAAATGGATAAAATTAATTACCGTTTTGGCAGTGGATTGATGATTGATCGCAATCTGTTCCGACGGCAGTTTCTTACACGTTAACGTTGTGGAAGTTTGCTTAACCTGAGGTGGCCCAGGGCCACCTGATACTGCTACTACTGTGGTACTAGGATACACTACGGGTGTAATTTGAACTTGAGAACCTAAGTATTTATTTTTATGCATTTATTTATTCATATAATTTATATTCAAGAGAGATAATATATATGTGGTTAAAAATAACGCAATCTATTTTTCCAACAATTTTTACCGCGCGAGCTCTTATCAATAATACAAACAAATGTCTATATAATGCTTACTTGATACTAGAGCTTCATGTATGATTGACATAAGTCGCTTCTTGCACGGTGAATTCGAACTAATGTTCTCAGATCTCTCAGAGGTTTTCTGTGTACTACCTGCAAGAATACAAAAAACTTTATTGTTTTGAAATTGCGCAAAAATCGATTGTCTCTAAATTGTTGTAAAATATGTCTTAATGCAAGAGCGTACTTGTATTATCCTCATGTTGTAAATCTTTACTTTCCGAATTCATTTTGTTTAGCGGCGTGCTCAATGCAATACCACTCAAGACTGCTGGCACTACTTTTGTACTAACTTTATTCTGCACAGTACTGGTTAACATTTTTTTCATATTGCTTGTCCAATCTGTATTTGTGCACACAGAGATTTCTGAAGTAACTACATGCTTATTTAACGAAACTGCGGTCCGCGCACTCGGGTATCCTGATACTATTGTGTTATCCTTAGTATCTGAATTTGTCAAAAAATAATGCAAAATTATGTAAAAGATATATATAACATATTAAAAAAATTTATATATTAAAATTTTTATGTTAAAGAGCATTTCCAAATTTCCAAATTTTATATAGCCAATTTCCTCTAATCTAAGATTAAATATTTCCATATTTTTTAAGATTCTCTTGGTTCTTATTTTGATTCTAATGTTACATGTACAAAGTAAAAATGTTATTGTGTATTCTTTCATTCAATTTCTCACTTTGATATGGTTACATGATCATATGACAAATGTGAATGAATAATATAATAGCAAACAGCTAACCTGACAAAAAGAAAAATCTAAAAATTCTTAGAATAGAGAAGATTTCTATTGCATTTAAAAAAATTTATCCAAGGTTGCTGGATAATATTAATCGTTTCATTTCTAAAAATTTTAGTGTTAAATATCTATTTATTTAAATAACATAAGACTTACAAAATAATAAGGCAAAGAAATACCAACCTGAAATCTCACCATTTGGATTAAGTGAGATTACTCCAACATTTTGAGTATGCGTGTTTGCTTGTATTAATTGCTTATGAGCAGCTTGTGGTGCTTGCTTATCTTCAGATATAAAAAAAGTGTTGTTTAATGGTTCAGATACCACTTGCACCTTATTCGGCGGTTCTATTGACAATGGTGATGGTGATTTGCGTTTTTCAGAGCATTTTGATACTTTGGGTTTTTCAATAACTTTATCTATTGTATCTGTGTTATCTATCTTTTCTTCTTCAGCCAGATTTGAATTCTAAAAGTGTGAAAATATAATTAATATTATCAATAGTCATAAAAATGTAACATAAAAAATATACCATACAAATTTATTAAAACAAAAAAATTGCAGTTAATAAGTTTATAACATTTTTACATACTTCATGTAAAATTTTGCTGCTGTTGCAGTCATTTTCCAAACTGCATGATTTTGTATGAGGTAATTCTTTTTCTATTTTCACTTCAAGCTGAGATTCAGTTTCAGTAGCTGTTAACACAAATATATATATGTATATACATAAAAGAAATACACACACATACACACACACATATAGTTATATATTCTTAAATTATATAACTTAAAAAGATATGGTAAAATTAATAAACCTGTCGAATTTTCAGAAGCAATTTGTCTAGGTTTCTTCTCATTTGCAGCTGCAGTTACAAGAGACAAGCTGTTTGCTAACGTTGTGAAAACGGATCGCGCTTTTAATCTTGGCAAAAGAGGAATAGTTCGGCGACCTTCAATAGTCCAATCTGTACCAGTATTTGGACCATTAAGTCTGCATTATAATAATTTCACATTAAACACATGAAACATATAAATCACTGCATTCTATGATATTGCACCAATTTTTCAATATAACAAACTCATCTCATAAGCTATTTTCATTGCGTAAATTGGAAAATATGTATTTTTATGTACATCATATAATTAATTTTTTTTTCTTATTCTTCTGTGTTTAAAATTCATTGCGTAGAATACATACTGTTCCGCAATTGTTGCAAGCTTCTCGTCGTTTACAGCTCTCCGTATTTCAGCACGATGTCTTTCATTAGAAATATGTAATACTTTAGCGAGTTCTTGCAACAATTTCTGTTTCTCGTTGGTGAAAGGACCTTGGGCACGTAGGACAGAGACCATACTTCCATAAGCATCTAATTCTGCAAAGCACAAAGAATCATACATATGTGCCAAAATATATAAAATACATAAAATACAAATAAAGCTTATATATTTATAATATTATGAGTAAATTACTAAAATCATTCAGGTTATTCTAAAACTAAAATTTTTGTTAAAAAGAACAATCATGTTTAAATATGTATGGTACTTAAAATTGAATTTAATTAAATTTTATATTTTGAAATATGTATAGCTTAACAGATATATTTCATATATTATAAACTATTGTACATTTTGTCTTTCTCTTTCTCTATAATAATAAATTTATCTCTATATATTATCATATTTTTTTTTATGTGTGTATGAAATGTGTTAAGTATATGAGTCTTAGAAACATGAACTCAATTTCATTGTTTCTATTTACTGCTAAATAGTGCTGCCTAATTATATGCTGTATTTATATGCAATACAAAGGTCGTTTTCTAATATTAACATGTAGTAAAAATCGTGGCATTTAGACTCTAAATATGTTAGAAAAATACAAGAGAGGCGTTGGACTTTAAGATTTTTTTTTTGGCATCATATATAACACTAAATCCGACCATTCACGTCTGAGTTTTAGCTGTCTAATAATACGAAAATCATGCACACATATTAATCTGTGACGTGAGGACTGTTGCATTTAACGTAGAATGCATAGAAGAAAAAAATTCAATATACTTCCACACCGAAAAAATCCACTGCATTATTAAATAAGGTTTTTCGAGTTCTTGATTTCCTCGATTCTCGCTCTGCGAGAAGAAACGCGTACAATACGGATGTTATAATCCCTACATTTCATCGTCTTCACGTCGCAAAGGAGGAAAACGCGGTGAAACGAGTGTCCTCGTGCTTGCGATAGAATTTTTATGTCGCGATAAAAAAATCAGATCTCGGGCTCGAGAAGCGACATCGACAGACTCACGCAATTTAACTCGAATGTGGTGTGAAAAAAGTATTAATCTATTTAAAATCCATTGGTCGATTAATCAGGGCGCAAGTATGAAGGCCGTGAAGGCTAGTATAGCTAACACTCTGTTGGGCCTGAAGAAGGCTGGAAGTACCAGTTGTCTGGCCCCACCGGCTTCCAGTACTGGTCTGGCATCTCGAAGTCTTCCCCCAAGTCCCTGTGCATCCCGCAAGGTAGAATAATAACACGCATTTGTTGTCTCCGCCCGAAGCGGAGAGGGATCGTGTGCGCTTGATTTTTGTGGACTTTGAAAAAATTTTTGTCTAATAAATATTTTTTATGATAAACAAGCCTTATATTACGCATCGTCATTTTAATGTGAGTAGAATATACGGAAATTATAAATAAATAATTATAATTATATAATTATATATAGCGATAGAATTTTTATGTCGCGATAAAAAAATCAGATCTCGGGCTCGAGAAGCGACATCGACAGACTCACGCACGCTAACACAAAGCGATTTTCTTCGGCCGCATAACCTTACCGAGGCATCGTAAGCACTTCCTGCACTCATCTCGAGTCATCTCCGACCGCATCGGCCACATGATTCCGCGATTCTTCCACAACCGGGTGGGATCACTCGGACAGAACGACCGAATCGGCGTGCATCGTCTCCCGCATTTTCGTAACCTCCGTTGACAGTCGAGCCTGGAGTTGACGATGAAGTTATCGCGCTAGTACTATTTTATTACCATTATTATTATTATTCCCTGTTAGAGAATTTGATTGTCCCGATGTTGGCAGCTTGATTGCGCGGCAAAGTGACGCATGTCAAGGAGATGCTTTTATTTATGTAAAAGATATTTTTATTTATTTATATGCATTACGTCTCTGTATTTTTAGATAGTTTCAAATTTTTACTAAATTTTATACAGCAAGAATGGAATATGTGTATTCACATTTGAATTTGGATTCTTTTGCGGTCGAATTCAAAACATACCACATCGCATCTAAATATTCGTATATCGAAGGACTCACTTGAAACGAGTAAAGATAAAATGCTTTTATATTTTCTTTTTTTTTTCGAAAATTTTTGATTGAAATATTTCATTTATTTCTATCGATATTTACTTCCATTTAACAATTTTTACAACAGGCCTTTAATTCGCATTTATTTATATAAATTCTCACAAATCATTGAAACTTTGAATAACTTTAATTTAATTTTACTCCGCAACATCGTTGAATTAGAGAATTTCTTTTTCTTCAGTCACGCGTTCTTTTTTTTCATGTTTTTCCTGTTTAAAAATCCATCAAGATTATGAAATTTTGAATCTCTCGTCTCTCCCTCTATCCAACGATTATCGGTCGGCCAAGGATTGACAGACGGTTGACAGCTGTTCTCTCGGCGCCGCGAACATGGCCGCCGAGAAATCGATAGACGAGCGATGTGGGGAATTGAATTTAATCCCGCGTCGCCGTGACAGCGTCTCTCCCCACGGGACGTGACCTCACGACCGTCGTCCGTGAACGTGCCGTTTCACCATCGAACACAACACATCGACGCGGGGATTGTTTCTGCGCGCGCGCGCGCACCACCGTCGCTACCGTTCAGCTGATCCGCGGATGACGGGTGAAAGTGCTCCGAATAGCCGTCGAGCTGTAAAGACGCGGGGCTGATTCGACGCGATGCGCCGGGCCCGAGGAGATCGGCCGTATCGAGAATTCCTAATGTAAATGCAGATAGCGTAGCGCATCAATGGAGGTCATTTTTTCCTCCAACGACAGAACTATTCTCTCTCTAATGCAAGTGTTTTTTTTAATTGGCTTCCTTCTGCTTGTAATTAAAGCGAATTTTATCTCTCAGACTTCCTCTTTGTTTATAACGATAATATACAATCCATTTTTTGTTTGTACGACAGTAGTGAAAATAAATTTCTATTTATGTGCAATCATATACACAATGCAATTTAAAAACATTATTTTTTTTTATATATGTATTTATATAATAATCGATATAGATTTCTTATCAAAGCGCATGAAACCTTCTCCGCTTCTTCCACTACACCTTCTCAAACCGAAAGAAAGGATATATTTTTTGGAAAATATTGAATGTTTTGCAATTCCCATGCTTACCTTTTTTCATTTCAATCATCCCTTCACATCTCTCAGTTGTTCCTTAAATTCGCCGATCGAAGATACTCGTTAACTTGCACGCAAGAGGAACGTAAGATAATTGATAATTGTGCATAATATGTATGAAAAGTGATAGAATTTGAGACAATTTCAGTCAAATTAATCATTATACACGAATTTCTTAGAAAAATCGTCTATATAAAAAATTACGAATATTTAGATTTAGACTCTTCGATGCTTCGAGAAAGAGAGATAGATATATCCGCTGATTCTGAAATGATTTTAATCGCTTATAAATTATTATTTATATCGCAACGAATCATTTTTATCGCTTGCCCGAAACTGCTGCAAGTTTTTTCACTGATGAAGATTTTCGTCGACACAATCGTACGCTGATCATGACACTGATTGCATTGCTATTGCACTTTAACATCGGAGGCAGCGAACATTTACACACGGTGTTCGATCATATAGATGTAGGAAGATCATTGCATCATCGGTTCGGACCGCTTGATCACGCTTCACTTTTCGAATCGTCGGGAGCGAGGATGCCCTTTGCAGAGATCATTGCGTCGCATTAATCGATTTGATCGAATTGTTGAAACATTTAGAGCTCATTGGCTGGAGGTTTGGGAATAAGTCCTGACCTCTTGGAGGGTGCTGAGCCAAGTGTTGCAGCTCCACTTATGGCCGGCGATCTGGACGACGGTCTTATGTCGAGGGCTAGGGATACCGGCAAGTTCTTGTACAAGTACCTGGAGCCGCGGGAGCGCGTCGAAAAGATCAACGTCATGGTATGCGAGTCAGGCTCTTTTCACAAGTAATGTTAAGGAACTAAACTGAAGTGTCCGCGAATAACTTATTCCTTAGATCTAGAAATCCATGGATTATTGAATTCAAATATCCAAGGATTCCTCGATTGAAGGATTCAGAAAGCTGAGAGAACTCTCGAACCTTTGAGATTATCGTAACATTAATATGTGTATCTTTCGCAGATGGGCAAATTGAAGAACGCATTGGACGCCGAAACTACCTCGAGATTAGAGCTGTCCCAGAACGTGGACAGCATGAAGCTGATCGCCCAAAGCGATCTGCGAGTGCAGGCTTTAAGTGTGCTGCTTCTGCATTACTGTGCCGGCTTGCAACACGCCCAGGAGGCGCTTGACCGACCGGAGGCTGGCAAAGAATCTTAACAAGAACGCGTTCAGCAGCTTTAAAGGAGAGAAAAAGCGTTTCTTGCAAAAAGAAAAAACAGACGCGGAAAATGTAGCGGTATTTGATAATGAAATAATAATGGTTCGCATTTTTTTCACTGTAATGAGCCATGATTAGATGGCGTAAATGCGACGCTGCATCGATTTTATGATGCTGATGTCGTTTTTAATATTATATATTTGTTATATTGTTACCAGACTGTTTGAAATACTGCACAGAGATATTTCTATTATTATGCACAGAAAAATAGGGAGCAAGGATCCAACAGTATTTATAGACATTCCATTGATGCAATTATCGGAATCACAATTGTATCTTGTACGTATGTTACTATTTTTCTTCTTTTTACTATTTACAATAGTATTTTAATATTTTCGAAGAATACGTATGTATGTAGCATTATTATAACGTTACGTAACGATACATTTTCCAAAATTTGGGGTTTGATGTAATATTCTAAACATGTAATGTTTGTAGCATCACATTATGAAGAAGTTTAAATATTACGCCATAGTTGTTCCAAAATATTCTACATTAGTCAATATCGATCGAGTTATTCAAATGAAATAAAAATAAATAATAAAATATAATCATCGATTTATTCGGTCAAACTTCGGCTCTGTAATGTGGCCAACTTTTAACGGCAAATAGAATAATTTTGACGGGAACATTCTTCTCTTGAAATTTTAAATAAAGAGATCTCATATTATTTTCTATATCTCTATTTAATGTACAAAATTTAATGTTAATAATTCTAATTCAATTTTCACACGTAACACTTTCGCGCTTTGCAGGGTGAATCGAAGTTCCGCCTAGGTGTTATGCATATATACATATACGTGAATAATGCAGTATCGTGTACGTAAAGGCTTTTAGTGATTTGATCGATCCTCGTGTTGCAATTTGCATTATATACGTAGCTAAATAATACTCAGAAATGGAATATCGTTCACCAAGAGAGAACACCAAACTCGTTAAGATTAATATTAATAGAATTTATATAATAATCGAAAATTATAAAAATAAATTTTTTTTTATATTGATAAATATAACTCTACATTTTTGCTACATATTTAAGTCTCTATTTATGATTACAGTTCTCAGGTTTCTTTTTTTGGACACATACTTTAATTTGCATAATTCTTCCTGCAGCCTCTTTCGGAACTCATCGAAGGGATTGAATTTTCGACAGCTGTCCAGTGTTTGAAACTTCTTGTTCTTGTCACACATATGCAGTGTGATAATATGTAACAGTGTGTGCTACAATATGTTCTATTGTTGACATCCATCAAGGGAAAATTGTTGTTTGGACAATTCCATCTTTAATATGGACATTGAAAACTTTCTCTTGCATGTACATAGTGCGATATTATTTATGTAACACTCTACATTTGGATACGTGCTACTCTTAATATTTATTGAGGGAGAGACTACGTTCTCAACAGCAGTGAATCTAATATGGACAGTCTGCAACTGGTTCTGGTAGCCGTCGTTACATTTATCTGCGGTATAATATGTACCCTGGCATTGCAGTTTTACCTATTCAAGAGGTATCTGGATTCGGGGCCTCAAGCCACTCCGCCGCAAAGGCAGCTGCAGCATGGCAAGGCGCAGTTACCTAAGGAGCTGGTGGAACAGCTGCAGGAGGAACGGGCGAACAGCAACAACAGCATGTCTCGTCAGGCGATGTCTCAGGGCAATGAAAACCTGGCCATAAATCTCACACTGCAGTTCCTCTTCAATGAGCTGCGAAGCGCCGAGCGAGTGCGTTTGTGGCTTTATAGGAAGTTAAATAACGAATTCAAAGAACTGTTGACGCAGTCGACAACCGCAAAGCTGTTAGATAGCGTGAAAGTAAGATTCAAAATATTTAATTTGGAATGTAATAATAAAAAAAATGTCTTCGAAATATAATAATAAAAAAATCTAATAAATTCTTCGTAATTTTTTCAGTTGAGAGACTTGAATCTCGGCACGCAATTTCCGACGATAAAAGGCTTAGAAGTTGCGGATTCGAAAATTGACGCCGACACGGGTCTGCTGGAATCTCTGGACTTGGCCTTAGATTTACATTACTCAGGAAACTTTCAGTTGTCTATAGATGTTAAGATGCTGCTCGGTAAAACAGCCTATCTGGCGTTACAAGGTATTATCATATATCACAATATATTAAAAAGGTAAAGAAAATAGGAATGATATTATTATATATAAGTATATCGTTGTCGATTTTTGCAGTAAAACGTATCAGCGGTAAAGCTAGGCTACAGTTTACTCGCGTACCTTATACACACTGGTCGTTGAGTTTCTACTCGGATCCGACCTTGGAATTGGAAGTGCAGTCACAGTTCCAAGGTCGTCAGTTACAGCCACAAATAATTTCGATCATCACAAGTCAGATTAGGAGAGCGGTGAAGCGGAAGCACACTCTACCTCGTTACAAAATGCGTTATAAGCCCTTCTTCCGAAGATTAAATGACGAAGCCGTGGATCTCTCAGAGGTAAGAGCCGTTCCCTTAATTAATCCAGCTTTAGTTAATTTGCTACATATTCGAAAATTGGTTCACATTTGCTTCTGTAGTTTTAATTTTTGATTGTCATAAGGCAATGTTTTGATTTGCACGATATATACATCTTATTCACATATTTAACTAGGTCGTCAGTACTCAGCTCACACCAGGATACTTGGAGGTTGTACTGTTGGAGATCAGCAGGCTAAACCTCGCACCTATTGCTCTCAATAATAGCGAAGATGTGTCGCAGGTGGAGATATATTGCATCATGAGCGTGGACTCTATGCCATGGGTATACCTGACACAGTACAGCGGTGTTCCATACATGGTACTTGATTTAATCATCAGCAAGGTTGCCTCTCAACAGTTAGGTGTAGTGTTTAAACAGGAAGTCGTACCGGAGGTTGGCCAAATGTGTGTGCTGGTGGAGACCATAGTGTCTGGCAGTCCGGCGGCGATCGCTGAGATGAAGAAGGGCGATATTTTAGTAGCAGTAGACGGCAAGAAGGTGTCGAGCATGAACCAAGTGGCGAAATTTGTCAAGACCGCCGTACAGCGGCGCTTCATCATCAGGGTGGAGAGGCGGCACTCAAAGGCGGATTCGAGCGAGAGAGGACAGAAAATGGACGGCGAGAGGACATCTTTTATCGAGAGGAAGACATCGAAAAGTGATTCTGTAGGCAGGATGGACAGCCCCTGCACAGAGGACGCTGGAAAGATGAAGTTTGAGACGCAGATCAAGTTTTCCGATCTTCGGGATTCCGACAATGATCTTACGGACTCTCGGTCGGACACCAGCAAGCTATTTAAGAGAAGAAAAAGCAGCATACAGATAGAAGATACTGCTCAGACGCCTGACACTACACCGTCTCGACGGATCTCAACGATCTCCATATCATCGGCGTCGTCTAGCAACGCTCAATTTTATCTTCCGGACGAGAGTAATGCGACCAGTATTGCCGATCTGTGCTACAACACGAAGGAGAAACCGTACGCTTCTCTAATCGCCTTTGAAGAGACCAAAAGCTTCCAAGTCGATTCTGAATTGCAATACTTGAACGTGGGCGTGTGGGGTCGTGCGAAGGGAAGCGAGATGTCATCGAGATTATTAGGCTATATAAACGCGCCTGTAAAATTGATTCTGGCACAGTGTTGCACTTCCACGACCGGGCATTACTTGAAATGTCATGCCTTATTGCCGCCAGAAAGTGGTAAGATTCTCTATATAAAATATACATTATTTTTTCTAAATTTTATTTTTTTTCTAAATTATATTTATTCCAAAAAATATAATTTAGAAGAGTTCTTAAGAGTGGAATTCAGTAATACGAAAGTATTAATCTAGGTCCATTTATTTTTCGTATACATAGAGCAATTCGTATCGAATTGATCTTGAAAAGAATAGATAAAATTAATTTAAAAAATTAATTATAGAATTTCTTTTAAAGTTTCGCTAGCGACATCCTATATAAGACTGCAGGGATATTCGGGATTCGATCCAACGCTCTGTTACGGCGATATTCTGCTGTCGTATGTGTGGGAATCCTGTCGGCCAGGCAATCATACAGTCAGTGATTCCGGAAAGAAAGATAACGCGGAAACTGCCAAAATACAACCAATTCCGAGCGATGAAGTCACCGATAGAAAGATGCACGATTTCATCAGGACGCACTTTCATAGAGCGACACACTGCGATTTCTGCACGAAAAAGGTATAGCGTTAGACATACATAATCGGATAATGTAATTTGTCGAAATGTCTAAGACAGAGATTTATAAAATCGTGTATAACGTGGAATTCGCATGATATGGAAAGTTATGAAAGTTATATCCAGAATCTGTGAAAATATATTACATAATTTAGACTTTTTGGGACAATTCTTTCATTTTATTTACGGAATTTTATTTTATTTTTGAATGTCGATTATCTAAAAAGCTTACTACACAAGAACAGTGCAATGTCTCAAATATATAAAATAATTTTTTTTATTAAATGACAGTTTTATGCGATATATGTTAGATTCGTGAATATGAGTATAAAAGACACATTATTATAATATGCAAATTTATCAAACGATCTATAGATCAAGATACTAATATGTCACAATATCATAAAACGATCTATATCGGATAGTTCAATTATGATGCACTCGTTTATGACTGCTCATTGCGCCAAAACTCGTATAAGAGAAAGAATAGCTCGCACATTAATATCTTCAGACTCCAATATCTTTTGATGAAGCCACTTTGTATTTATTTTTTGTATTTTTTCTACATTTTAAATTACATAAAATTTTGCTGTTTATAAATGTTTATTTATCAAAAATAATTCACTTGTGAATTATAATCACGAGAAGAAAATGGAAAAACAGATATCATAACTTTTAACATTTCTCAGTATTTTACTTAATCACAGACGGTGCCAAATGATTTAAATCACAATTCCATATACATATCCATGAATTGGAACAACCGTACCAAATGATACTAAACTATATATTCGCATATTAGAAATAAAAAAACAACATATATGGTTATGATATTATAAGGAAGCTGAAAAAATCTGAACATATTTAACGTTAAACGTGGTCATCCGATTTCTATTTGCCTAAAATGCTTTTGATTTAAGTCTGACGAAGGCGATTAGATGACCGCTTGTAACGCTAAATGCAAAATGTGAATATAGATCCTTTTGACTGTTGACCTATATAATCAAAGAATTTTACCGCTTTGACCTAAATCGGCGATATATCTCGACGACCAGAACTTTTATGAATTTTGACGAGGCAGCTTCGTATTATATACATATACATATAGCGAAATCCATCCATAAGCATTTCTGTGTGGTTATAATTTTAAGATATTGTGCGTCTCGCGTTTGCAAACTGATGTATTGTCGCTCATTGTTATTATATATAAAGGTGAATATATAGATTGTTAAACGAGCATTTCGCAACTATTTAAAATACCTCTTAATGTATACTGTGTTTTCCTATGAGATTTATCAGGATATCTGAAAATACAAATTGCAAGTCAATCATCTAGTTAAATTCTTATTATGTATGTATTTTTTCCGAACTAAAATTTATATATATTTATAAATTAAATTAAATAGGTTTTTAAGAAGGTTTTTTCTTTTTATTCTGTTTTTGAATATTACTCGAATTTCTGTGCAGATTTGGCTAAAAGACGCTGTGCAATGTCGGGACTGCGGCATGGTGTGTCACAAGAAGTGCGAAACACGCTGCCAGGCGTCCAGCACGTGTGGCGCAGAGAGCCTAGCAACCCTGGCGCTGGAGGCAGACGAGATCGAGCCGAATGCTATCATCGGGGACATCTCAAGCCCAGAGATCTCTCTGACCGGATGCGAAGATAATGTGCAGGTACTCAAGACATAGAACCTTAGGGCGTTTCGTTATTCGCGAGAGTAATCGGCGTAACGTTTCGAATTCTTTGTTACGACATACGATGCTCACGTATGAGTCAGCAGATTCGGACCGGGAGGAAAGAAAGCGCTTAATCTTTGAGATCAAATATCTTCATAATTGAACAAAATTTTAATAAAAATTTGTTAAGAAAAATCGGATTCTCACATTTGTCTAAGGATCTGTAAATGAAAAGAAACATGTGTGTGTGTGCACGTATATATATTCAAAATTATTTTATTAAACAGTATATATAATCGTGTTCTAAAATTATTACTTATAACAATTTTATTATAAAGTAGCAGTTACATTATTAGTGCTTTTTTCTCTAAAAACATTAGCATCTTATGAAGACGCTCATTCAATTTTTCTTTTAGAGAGAATCTATTTTATATATTAGGATTTCTTTAATATTAATACTTTTAGAGGATAGTTGTTTTATTTTCTAGTCCAATTCTGCAAAATTTGTGATAACTAATTTATTATTTTGTATATTTATATTAATTTAAATGCTTTATGTTTTTTGCATTTGCTTAAATGCAATATTAATATTAATTAAAATATAAACGCGTTATAACGCGTTGATTTAATCATTAACTATATTTTTACAAATGCTCTATGATTTATTATTTTATAGAAATTTTATTTCTTATATTTAAATTTATAAACCATATTACCAGTTTGCATTTTTTTGTCACAGTCTTTAATTAAAAAAGATTGTATCAAAAATATGTTGAAACATAACTTTTAAAATCGGGTTATATTATTGAATATTTATTTTATTTTTATTTATCCTATTTTTGAGAAACATTTGATGTGCTTTTTTCAAAATAATATTTAAGCTTTAAATGAAACTAATGATTTCAACAAAATGTTCTATCAACCATGAATTGTTTTTTAAACATATTTAACTTATTTAACATACTTAATTTAATTTAATTTATTTATTGCTTTTATTCATTGACAATGAGTTAAAGAGATCAATATTTTATATAACATCCATTTCGACGACATAACATTTCGAACACTGATCACGCGGAAAAATCAACAAGTAATTATCATTACTACATATCGGTAAAATATAGAAGCGCTTGATAACATATCGTGTGGTTAAAGGATTGTACGAAAAATCTCACGTGCATCTTTAAACGCATCTATCTTCGTATTTTGTACATAGAAAGCAGAGATTGTTAAGCGTGACTCACATCCTGTTGTTGGCAATAAAACGAATTGAATACGCACTTCGGGGAGGTGAAGGTTTTTTGTATAAGCTTGCCTTGACCTTACCTTGGTTTTTAGATTACCAATTTATATACAAGTAGATAGATAAGAATTTAATTTTCATTTTCGTACGAAACTAATATCTCCGTTATCGGTAAAGTATATAATCTAGATATGTGTAATATTTTTAATGTTCTGCAGAACAGACTTTTAAAACTTTAGATTTTTATAATGTTCATGTGGAATATCAATATTACTTAAATTATATATAATTTACTTAAATTTTATTTCCACCGAATATGTTTCCAAATTTATGTGGATAAAACGACAGATATAAAAACATTTCTAAATTCTGTAGGTGACACCCAGATTCTATACTTTATCGATGAAACAACGTACACTTTTTACGACAAAATGGCGCGACCATCTTTCGATTATTTTATAGAATTTAACTCGAATGTGGTGTGAAAAAGAAGAAGGTTTTTTCTACAATTTACAAGAGATGAACGAGCGTCAGAATGAGTCGCTATGAAGTCTAAAAGACCGGAAGTTTACTGTATCGAGTTTCATGTGTTTAAAAATGCGTTTGGGGACCGCATTTTGTTTGTGCGAAAAATTACAAGGCTTTTGCATCTTTATTATCTGATTCTTTTTCACATAAAGACGCACATGCTGCGAAATTGTCTGGCGCTGCTAACATTAAAAAGATAAACAAAAGTCGCAATAAGAGCCATCAAGGTAGCTCGCGAGTCGTGTTGCTCGCGCGGGAAAATTCCGCGATGAAAAATAGACATTCGCGAAAATCGAGGTCGTGGGCAAAAGCGTCATATGATGCGCGGATGACATTTCTATCGTAGTCGTATGTAATTTCCTTGATAAAAACAGATGAATTTTCGCGAATAATTAGTCTTCTATTAATCTAAGCATTACCTCCCTTCGTAAAAAAGATTTAATACAAAAGGAATTTAAAACGGAAATAAAGAGTGATTCAATTTATATAATTCTTAATTTTAAAACAAAGAAAAAATATATAGATATTGTAAATGATACATGATAGAAATTGTAAAAACGTCAAGGGATGCACGTGCTGGCGTCGTGTTTGTGAAATCGTCACTATTCGCGTGAACAGTTCTTGGTAAACACGAAAACCGAAGACGCAGTACACAAATACATAGAAAGAGAATACGATCGTTTGTATAAAGAACGGACGTCAGCGGCGACGATTCCGCAGGGCCAACGTTCGCTCGTTGGCGAGGGTGCGAGCCAAGGTGTCCTCCTCCGGCGCTCTTTCCTCTCTACCGCTGTTCTCCGTTGAAACAGAAAAAAGAACGAAGAACATGAGACGGAAGTTCATGAGCTAACGCAGAAACTACGAAAATGTTCCTTCTTCTCTTTTCTCTTTTTCTCCTCCTCTTTCTTTATGCAAGCTCCTTAAGAGCTCCAGTCTACTCCAGCAAAATGAAAAATCGATTTTTAGAAATTTTTTTTGAAGAATATTAAATACCCACACGCATTGATCTTTATAGCGCTTTACACATGTTTTTATTCATGTTTGAACAGTACGTCAGTATTTTTAAATCTTGGATATTTAACTTTTTCTTTGTTAAATATGAGTCTCTGCACTCTAGCGTGTTCGAAAATGTAATAAGAATATAATAATTGAATATGATAAAAAATGAATATGATACTAAACCAATAGAGAAAATTGAGAAATAGCAAAGTAGTATCATTTTAAAATTAGATGTTTCAATTTTATTGAAATTTATTCATTTCTTGAAGGTTAGAAAAATAATAATTATTAATTGTTTAAATTCTAATTAGATTTAGTAGCTCCCAAAAAGTGTCCTCTTTCACTTAAAAAAAGATTGTATTTATTCGATTCATTAGTTTTCAAAATATCCGTCACACTAACTTTGAAAATAGTGTTTAATTTAGCAGGCCCATTTCAAGGCTCGTATGCTATCCTATTCAAAGTCTTAAAAAAAATCGATTTTTTTGACTCTCTAAAGTAGACTGAGTCCTAAAACTTAAACGTCTAGAAATATCTATATACTTTTATTAATAATATAATTAAAAGAATTTAGATAAAATATATGTAAATATAAAATTCTACATAAGATGGTGAGAGAATATCAGATTTTAAATATCCAAGAAAAGGTACATAAGAGATTTCCGAGGAACAGAGGAGTAGAAATGTAAAGTCACAGAAATCTTTAACGAAGTTCTGGAATAAATATTATAGTTTACATACATCTGACAATTACAAATATTTAGCAATCTAAGAATTCATGAATTCAAGAATCTAGAAATAAGTGAGTGTCTTAAGATTCAAGAGTGTTGAGATATCAGACTCTGTTGTAATACAGATCCTCTTAGATCTGTATATATATCATCGGATCCTTCCCCGCTCTGGTCTTTATCATTGCACGTTCTACATCGTATGAGGAAACGAAAACGACGAAAAGAGAAGAAGTCATGGGGGATTTTGGTCTGCGGCTGTCTATTTTCGTCGGCAAAGATGCACGCGCAGTATCCTCTGGCCGCGGGCCAAGCATACCGTGAAACCGTATAAACATTTTATCCGGTTGAGCATTGAGCTTCACAAATGAATGGAGAGCAAAGTCCTCTAACGCAGGAAAAAAAAAGAAAACGCTCGTGGAAAATTGTGGACAGTAGTGAAATTCGCTTTACGGAGCGTATTCTTTTTATTCTATCTCTTAAAAAAAAAGACGAGACTTTTAACAATTAGAATTAACGCATTTAAATGTGATTAAGGATGAAAGAAAAGTACAAACTAACTATAATGTAATCGTTTTCATTTGTGGAAGATTTATAATATCCAGAATTATGTTTTTAATTAAGAAAAAAAAAATCAAAGTATATATGTTTGTATAAAGTCCATTTTTTAAGAATAAAAAGGAAAAGGAATATGTTTTTGAATGCTGCCATTGACTATACATATATATGTATGGCATATACTATAAACTTTATTACATTTTATTTTGAAAAAAAGTAAGATGAACTATTTTTAGAAACATATTTTCAAATTTCGACTCTGTACGATCCAAAAAATTTGTCCTTACAACATTCATTTATTCTGTGTAATATTTTGTGTAAGCTTTAAAAGTATGCATGTGTTTATAAATCTTGATTGGTATGTCTTTCATCGATTGCGGATTGTCTCGTTAGTAGTATATCTTTCATAAACCTTTCATAAAATTCATCTTCTCATTCTAAAATAATTCTACTTTAGGGAAAATGGATTATCAGTTATATTTATATCCATTGGCTTTTACTTTAAAATAAATATTATCTTTTATGTATACAATAATATATTGTTTTTTTAATTAAGAAATATTTTAAATGATATTTTTAATGAAAAAATAAACTCCTGACAAAAGTGATAAAGTAATGAGCGGCAAAAAAACTATATTTTGTTAAAACTTCTTTGTTCGTAAAGCTATATAGTCGAAAAGCTCAATGCGCGTCAAGACTGACATTGGGGATTTTTTATTCGGACATATATATAATCCTGATGACTTGATGCTTTTTCAGCTAGTAATTGCGATGTGGCCACGCCGAGATGAATCATATTCTACAGAGCAAAACCAAAATTAAATTCGACGAATTTTTCAGCATTTTTAAATTCTTAAGTTCTTTATATATGTATATATGTATCATGAATCTCTCTTCTTTTATATTAAATACAAAAAAAAAAAAAATCAAAGTATATATGTTTGTATAAAGTCCATTTTTTAAGAATAAAAAGGAAAAGGAATATGTTTTTGAATGCTGCCATTGACTATACATATATATGTATGGCATATACTATAAACTTTATTACATTTTATTTTGAAAAAAAGTAAGATGAACTATTTTTAGAAACATATTTTCAAATTTCGACTCTGTACGATCCAAAAAATTTGTCCTTACAACATTCATTTATTCTGTGTAATATTTTGTGTAAGCTTTAAAAGTATGCATGTGTTTATAAATCTTGATTGGTATGTCTTTCATCGATTGCGGATTGTCTCGTTAGTAGTATATCTTTCATAAACCTTTCATAAAATTCATCTTCTCATTCTAAAATAATTCTACTTTAGGGAAAATGGATTATCAGTTATATTTATATCCATTGGCTTTTACTTTAAAATAATCAGATTTTTCTAAAAAAATTCTTGTTATCGTATCTCTAAGAAACCGCTCGCAGAAATATGGACAGGCAAATACGTTCGAGCGATAAAATGTACGTTCGTTTATGCGAAATAAAGCGACGAGATAAGACAATAGAAATTTGCGGAGATCTATAAAAATAGAAAGACAGTTAAAGGCAGTCGATTTTCTCTTTCTTCGTGATCGTGACCTAAAATTAAATGCGTTGTCGAGTCGCTTTGTGCCGCGAGAAGCAGCGGCACTTTTGGCAATTTCGCAAATTCCTCCAGACATATCCGCATGAAATATATTACGGCCAGATATAGTGACGCATTTGGTACGATTTCCTAAATATTAACCTGAATTGCGCATAGTAAACTAAATAGCACGTAGTGAGAATAATAAATATTTGTCGCGCGCTTCAAATCTTTCTGCCAAATACGTTTTTTATTATACGCTGTTTATTATCTTGCGAAATAATTTTTACAAAACGATAATAGTGGCGGTGAACATGTGATATGAGACAAAATATCTGATTTATATTAATATTATATAGTAAATTATAAATATTATCTTTTATGTATACAATAATATATTGTTTTTTTAATTAAGAAATATTTTAAATGATATTTTTAATGAAAAAATAAACTCCTGACAAAAGTGATAAAGTAATGAGCGGCAAAAAAACTATATTTTGTTAAAACTTCTTTGTTCGTAAAGCTATATAGTCGAAAAGCTCAATGCGCGTCAAGACTGACATTGGGGATTTTTTATTCGGACATATATATAATCCTGATGACTTGATGCTTTTTCAGCTAGTAATTGCGATGTGGCCACGCCGAGATGAATCATATTCTACAGAGCAAAACCAAAATTAAATTCGACGAATTTTTCAGCATTTTTAAATTCTTAAGTTCTTTATATATGTATATATGTATCATGAATCTCTCTTCTTTTATATTAAATACAATTTGATTAACTAATGTATCTCTCAAATGGAAATCAAATTTTGATATATTATTGAGATTGACTATCTTGACAGTCTGTTTACAATTTTATCGTTAGAGCTTTTTCTTCTTAAAAAGACTATATAATAAAACCATGACATATACTACTACAATGCGAAAATTCTATTTTAGAAATCTTAAAAAAGCTTAAAAAAACAAAGAAAGACACTTTAATATAATAAGAAAGTTGTCACAATTTTAGCACGACGGGAAACGCGTCGAATTTAATAACT